CCTTCAGTTGGTGGCTTAGACTGGGGCCAGAGTCTCCCCAAGAAGTTGAACCCCTTCACACCTGCCTCATACCTAAGGGGCAAGGAGAAGGACATGAACCCTGACTTAGAGGAGACAGACCACCTGCCCAACACTCTGTAGCTCTCCATGGTGCTACCGTTCATCTTTGCTGCCGTCAGCTTGGACCCCACTAATGGCCACCCCCACATACAACAAAGCCAAGTGCTGCTTGGTCCTGCTCCATCCTCAAGACCAGGGTTTCCAAGCTAACTCTCAGCAGACCCCAAGCCTTTCTTCCTGGTCTTAGTCTGGGCGCTCTGCTGAAATCTGTTCAGCACATAGCAACATCTTCACTGACAGGCAGGTGGTAGCTGCACTTGAACGAGATGCCTGGCCAGGACTTGAACCATGCTCTCCTGCTTGGAAGAGGAGAATCCCCCATGGAGCCACCACTGTCCCCTTGACAGCACTGCACAGGCAGGGAACATGACTCTCACTTTCGAGATGCAGATTTAGGGGCTCCAAGACATTCAAGGCCTGCTACACAGTGCTGCCAGGGACATGCCCTGCTGTCCAGCCAAGGCCCCAGGCCTGAGCCACCCATCCTGGTGTCCTAGCAACCTCAGGACCACCTGGGCTTGCCCTCAACATTCTCACCTCAATTCCCCAACACTCCAGGTTCTCTTGGGGCCTTGTCCAGCATGCTTGCTCAGTTCTAGCAAGTTCTCATTCACGGAATATTCTGTGTCCCTTGGTCTGTCCTGGTAGCATTTTCTCACTAACCCAGGGAATGTGTGCCCTCCACAGGACAGCTTCTTTTAACTGGGATTGGAAGCCAGAGGATCTGGGAACTGGTGGTGGGGTGGGGGCTCAGGGAAGAGCAGTGTGTGGGGCAGACAGACAATAAAATCTTAGTCCTACAAAAGTCCTGGAAAATCTTCAAGCTGGGGTGCATCCTCCTGTGGAAGAGCAAGGTGACACCCACTGTGCCAGCCTGTGCCCCATTCTCCACCTCCCCCACCATGCCCCGCTGTGCCCCACCTGGGAAGGGGAGCAAGCTTGGAATGCAATTCCTCAGCTTTGCATGCTGCTCTTGTTACAAGAGTGTGACTCCCAAGATTCCCCTGTCACCTAAAGCTTCTGCCAGCCCGCCCCCAGCACTGTGCTGATCACCAGATTAAGGAGCTCAGTGCTGCAGATGAGGCGGCTGATGCCCCAGAGGGAGGGGCATGGGGAGGAGCAGGAGGGCAGTGGGCAGCTCTCTCCTGCCCAGCCATGGGACCCTCTCATCTCTCACTGTCTCCAAGGCGAGGCGCTACTCTACACACTCCTTCACTCTGGACTCACCTGCTGATGGCCAGCCTGAGTGGGGAGGGACTTAGGAAAGAGACCCCAGAAACAGGGAGAGAGGGCAAGGGCAACCCAGATGAAAGGAGTGAGTGCCCCCGGGCAGGGCTGGCTGGAAGGCCCATGGGATTTGAGGTAGGTGGGTGCTGGAAGGGTGGCCTAGGGACCAGCTGAGCATCACACACCTCACGGCCCCCAAGACTGGGAGAGGCAGTCTGGAGACCAGCTGGCTGGGATGGGGGAGAAGTGCAAAAACCTGGGCATTAGGAGCTTGTCCCTAAGAAAGACACCAGCCTTCCTGAGCCAAAGTCTTCCTTCCCCTCCAGCCAACACCCAGGCCTGGGACCTGGGTGCCCTCATATCTAGTCTCAGACACCAGGACTCTGGGAGGCGAGGGAGCTCTGCCCACCTGTGGTAAAGACCAATGCAAAGGACCTGAAGGTTTCTGCACAGGACCGCCTGGGGTGGGGCGGGGCGTCTGGGCTCTGACCTGGAAGCACTGTGTAGGCAGTGCCAGTGAGGCTGGCTGAACAGCGCAAAGGCCAGGGAAGGGCCTGGGCGCCAGAGCTAGGGGCCACGAATCCCGAGGCCTCTGTAGGGAACAAGATCGGGGTGCTCCCTGGTCCCATGTCCGGCTCCGGAGGTAACTGGAGGATTGCAGAGAAGTGGAAATTCTGAAGGCCAGAAGCTGCCCATCTCCTTCTCTGCCCTGTGCCTGTCCCAGGGCCTGCAGGGTGCAAGCAGGCCTCCCAGGCCTCCCACCCCCACTCTCTTTGTTGTCACTGCCAAGGGGCCCTCTTGCTGGGCCCCCACTACAGGGCGGGATGAGGGCAAGAGGTGGGAGGAGACAAGCTGGGCTCCAGGGGGTCTGGGGGCTAGGCAAAAAGGCTCTGTCAGTCCATCTGTCTGTTGGGGATCCTTCACTTCCTGCAACTAACGTCCTGTTCCTCTCTCAACCAGAACTCACTGTCCACTGCCCTGTCGTGATGTTAAATCAGCGCAAGCTTTGAAATGACCCTCACCCTTATCGCCACCAAATCAGAGCCATGCTTTGTGCGCTCAGAGGGAAGCAGGAGGGGGGCACTTGTCAGCAAGGGCATTGAGGTTCAGAGCAGGCTTGTCCTGTTTTGAGACCAGCCGGCAGGCCGGCAGCAAAGGCGGGCCCCCAGCTATGTAGCAGACCCGTTTCTTGTGCAGGGTCAGGCCTCTGCTAGGCTCTGAGAGGAGACTTCTCTGGCACATTCCCAACAAGATCCTGACCCAAGTGTGGTGTTCTGGGACCGGGGGAGGCCGTAATGCGATAAGCAGACTGGCCATCTGGCTCGGGGACGGAGGAGAGCCCAGACTGGTCGCTTCTGCTGCCCAGTCCCCAGGGCCCCTGTGTGTCGAGAGAGACAGACTGCCAGATGGACAGGCACTGGCCTGGGTCTGGGTAGAAGCCAGTGAGCTCCCTGTAAGCTGGGCTAACCAACTTCCCGAATGTGGAGGGGTATCGTGGAAGCAAAGCCAAGCACCCCAAAGGGCAGAAACAGAGCAGCAGGATGGGGCAACCCTGAGTCCCCACAGGCTAGGCGCTCAGCTCCCCAGGTAGGCCCAGCCCCTCCCAGCTCCTCAGCTCCCAGTCCACCAATGGGCCACAAACAGGGGCCCTCAGGGTGGGGGGAGGCAAACATCTCTGCTGGCACCTTCTCAGACATGCATGCAAAACTAATTAACATGGGGCAGCATGCCAGCAGCCGGCCAGCTCCACACCCTTGAGCCCAAGCAAACAAGGCGAGCCCTTGTCCAGGGGACATGCACAATGCTTTGTGGCTAATTTAGGCATCTGTCTCTGTCTCGTCTGGTCCTCCTGCCTGTGCTGGGCTTTTTCCCAGCCCCTCGGACAATGCTGGGAACAGGCCCGCCCCATCCCTTATTCAAATCACACCCAGGACAATGAGCTCATTGTGCAGGCCACAGAAAGGGGATGCTGGGTGTGTGTGTGTGTGTGTAACCAGGCATCGGGAAGTAGAGATGGGGTGGGGGTGGGGGTGGTTGGAGAAAATAGGAACCCGGGAAAGTGTTTACTAACAGAACCACTGCAGCTGCCTTGGGCCCTTTCTCTTCCCCTCTGGCCAGCTAAGGGTGGGGGCGGTGGGGGATGGGGGGTGGAACTAGGGGCGTCCTAGAGTGAATGAGGAGCCTAAGGCCCAGAAGCTATAAACTCTGCCTCAAACCTTAGTCTTATGACCCTCTCCCACCTTAACACTTGCTAGCTACCTCTGCAGGGTCAGCACTGGGCATGTTTTTAAATGGCATATGTTGGTTTGGGTTGGGGGTTCTTTTTTTTTTTTTTACTACAGAGGAGATGGGGCTTGGGGAAGAGGTGCCGGTGGCTGGGAAGGGTGGCACCTGCTGTCTTGCTCATTGTCTTTAGGCAACGTTTCATTTTCTCCTCCTTCCCAGATAATAAATTAGAGCAGAGATGGTGAGCTGCAGAGAGCCATGCTCCCCATGGGCGGGCAGGGCAGGAGAGTGTGTAAGCTCTCGGCAGATGGGGCTCCCCCTGGCCCGGCGACTGCTCACCCCACACCTGGTCAGCCCCTGCACAGAGCACCACACAGTGCACAGCATAAAGATATAGAGAGATAAATCTTGAGCGCTCCCTGAGGGGCAGGGTCGGGCTCCGAACCGCCCTCCCTCCTACCAACAACCCACACGCCCCCACCACCACCCCATCATCTCCAGAACACACTGAGGCAGGTGACATAAACAGACACTCACAGCCTGACACTGACACGCATACACACCCCCAGAGGCAGCCCAACACACACAGTGACAGTGGTGTAACCAATGTGGAAGGAAGCCTTCAGGCCAAAGCCCACGTGGCTGGCCACCCAGGCCTGGGGTGGCTGAAAGGTTATAGGGAGGCTGTGAGTGACACACATCCCCCACCCCACGCAGCCCGCCCCCCTCCCAATTTCCCAGCCCTCTTTCTCCAAACCTACTGGCGGCTTCACAGGAACTGAAGTAAAAAGCCATCCCAGGCGTCCAGAGAGCAGCAAATGCCTGCGGAGACAGAAACGTTTGGAGCAACAAGGCTCAGCTTCCTCAGGGCTGGCTGAGCTGCCTGGAGGCCGCTCTTTCTTTCAGTGCTGGGCGAGCGTGAGCTGAACAGTCATCTCGATTCCTTTGCTTTTCGGAAGCACGGTCCTGATGCTGGAGCACAGAGAGACTGCTGGGGTGATTCCCCAGCCAGCAGGAGCCACGGGGGGTGGGGGGGGGTGGCTCTTCCTGTTGCTAACAAAGTGTTGAGAAGGGTGTCATGGGCTCAAGAGGAGCAGAGGTGGCTCAAGGCCCAGAGCTGTGTTCCCGCGGCAGACGGGAGGGACCGTATGAAATCACCAACGGAGGGACTGCTTGGGCTACAAAACAATGAACTCCAGCTGCTCCAACTTCAAGGCAGTTGGTTCCAAAAAACGGCCTGAGTTATTCGCCCTCCCAGGCCCCCCACACCCATTTTTTTAACCTTTCTTCCAGCAATGGGGAAAGAACAGTAATAGAAGTTCAACCCTCTCACGCAGCACCCGCGATGGTGCAGAGGTGGGAGGAGTTGCTGCAGAGAGCTACACGTGTGCAGCAAGACCCTCCGGCTGCCGGCACTGCCTGCTTCCCCACCCCCACCCCACCTCCCCACCCCGCCCCGACTCCCGAGCAGTGAGGGCGCCCTATACCACGGATGACAGAATGGGAAGGGGACAATTGTGCTGCCCACATCTCCTAGCCCAGCCTCGGCTCCCATATTCAATCTCCGTGCATGTGATACTCCTTCAATAACCCAGCCTGTCCAAGAGAAGCCAGAGGGGACAGGATACCTCCCCGAGTGGGGAAGGGCCACTCTCTGCCAGCATCTAGTCATTTGTCCCGCCGGCCGCTCAGGGACAGAAGTCAGCGGACACGGCATCTTCCTGGGAGATCAGCCTCATCCACCTCTCTGGGTCTCCGAAGCAGAGGCCGGTGGCTCCATAGGCCTCTGCTAGTTGCCTGCTTGTCCAGCAATAGAAGCCCCTTCTGTGAGCTCATCACCAGGGACCCTTGACAGCTTAGTGGGTTACACATTGGGCTGCCACCCTAAGGTCAGCAGTTTAAAACCACTGAGGCTTTCTACTCCCATAAAGAGTCACAGTCTGAGAACCCCACAGGGGCAGTTCTACCTTGTCTGTCCGGTCACTCTGAGGTGACAGTGGGTTTGTTGCTGTTGTGAGCTCATCTAGCCCAGCATCAGTGGTTGGCTGGCCTGTAAAGAATCAGAGGCATGGGTGCTGCGCCAAGAATCTTCTGGTGAGGCGCTAATCAAAGATCTGATACCACAGTCCTCACAGCCCCAATGGTCGGGTCTCTCCGTGAGGCACCATGAACTGTCTCTGTGTGGCCTTAGCAGGCAAGGCCTAGGAACACCTATCAAACAGCTGGCTGGCACCGTGCAAATAAGGTGCTTGTGGCCACCCAGGGAATTGGATTGCTGGCTAATAAAGCAAACTAGGTGCATGGCACCTTTGTGGAAAGGGTAGGGTCATGGACCTAAGGTATGTGGAGCCCTAACAGGAACTGGTGAGTTTTGTCATCCTGCTCAGCTAAAATGAGCCATCCCAGAAGCAGAAAGGGGGGGACCTCACCACCACCCAGAAGAGCCAGGAGAGGACTGTACCGTTTGGACTCAGTCCCTGGACTGAGAACCTTTTAGAAACCGAAAGCGGATAGCTGCAGTGCTGGAGATGGCACAAGACAGCAGCGAGCAGTGGCATCTTGATCTTCCCTCATCCTGTGACTTAGACGTCAGACGCCCCTGCCACACCATTTGAAACTCCTACATCCTTCCAAAGCGCTGCTATCACAAGCACCATGTTACATCTAAAGAGCTATGCCTTATTAAAAAACAACACGCTGCCCTCGATACGAAAAGCCACCAAAGTCGTGATCAGAACAATGATATGAAATCCCATTGGTCTTCCCCCAGCTGGGAGGCAAAGGGGGCCGTGTCAGAGCTGCGGGCTGGACTTACCGGCATGCCAGGTCCCAACCTCGGGGACCACACTGATGATCACTGTTCAAAACTCCAGCCCGCTAGTTTGAAAGAAGCCAGCTATCTGGGCATGTGCCATTGTTAGTTTATTTGAAAGCCCACCTGCCTAGAACTACACTCAAGATCTAGCCTGAGTCAAATCAGCGAGAATCCTAGCTTTGGTACCTCAATGTCTGATTTCTTCTAAAGAGAAGAAATGTTGGCACATGAATTCACCTGGGTGCAATGCATCCCATGGTTGCCTCTAAGATGTGCCCTACAAATTAACTACAAAAAGATAGAAAGAAAGAAACCCGGCCACCTGAGTTGACTCGTACTCAGAGGGTTCCTTCAGAGGTTTTCGGAGGCTGTGGACCTTCGCCGGAGCACACAGCCTCCTCTTTCTCCAGAGCGGCTGGTGGGCTTGGTGGTTTTGAGCCGCCAGCTTGTGGCTAGTGGTCCAACACTTACCCACCAGCACCACCAGGGCTTTGAACACAAGTATCAATCGATAATGGCGACCCTGATTCCTAAGACCAAAGGGCTTCTTGTTGTTGTGTCGTTTTTAATGTCCTTTTAAGAGAAAAGGGAATTGCCGTTTCCCGGTTCGATATAGAACCAATGGAATTTGGAGCATTCAAGTTCTAGCCCAGGCTCAATGAGGGCTTACAGGTCCTGGAGGCGCAGCATGGAATGCCTGCTCCTTGTCCTCCTGGTGAGGGCCAGGGATACCAGGAAGCCCACAGGCTGCTAACCATCATGCCCCAGAGTCCTCTCGCCCAGCAGCCCACTTCAGCCTGGCCTCTCATTCCAGATGACTATCTGACACCCAAGGTATGTAATAAGCTTAGCAGGCTGGCCGGGGGCCTGGGCCTGCCCATGAGCCATCAATAAGTGAATGACTACACACGGTACCCAGCATGGGAATACGTCCAACTCCTGACCTCTACAACCCACTCACTGGCTAACTGGAAGCCACTCTGTGGCACAGGCTGGGAGCTCCTCAAGTCCAGGGCAGGCTCCAGTGAGGGAAGAAAGCCCAGGGCAGAGGTGCCAACTGGGTGCCCACTCGTCTGGACAGCCCTGTCTTGCATGTGGTAGCCAGACCTGCCCACCCTCTCGGTCATCCTCAGCCCCCGTCATCTGACCTGAGACTCTGCACCTGGTCTAGGGGGACGCCTCCTGCTCCCTCCATCCCCACCTCAGGGCCTCCGCTCAGGGAGTTCTCCCTGCGCACAGGCCGGGATGCCCTGTGCCCTCCCCTCCTCAGCCTAGAAGAGCTGTTGGATGTAGCAGGACTGCCCTGATGACCCGCCTAGAACCAATTCCTCCTCCCTTCCACCCCAGGGCACAGTCCGTGCACTCCTCTAACATCTGCCCCCTTCCTGCCACTGGCCAGCGGGGTCCGGCGAGCAGGCGGGCAACAGTGTGCAGCTGGCCAGTCAACACCATGGCTCACTGTTGAGGCACAGATGGGCAAAGTTGAGTCCGGTCCCTTGATCTCTGCCTTCCTTGCCCTTCCTGATCCACCAGGGTGATGGCCAGCCCAGAAGAACCTTTCTGGCACCCTATGCCCAGTCTCCATCCGCCCCCCCCATCTCCACCCCCCAAGGGCGGCAGGTCCCCTAGGGGTGTGTTAGCAGGTGGAAATTTCTGGAGTGGCTGGCAGTGGTATTTGGCACTGTTGAGCCCATTTTGATCCACAGTGATTGTAGGAGACAGAGTAGAACTGCCCCCATAGGGTTTCCTAAACTGTAATCTTCACAGAAGCTAATTTCCAGGTCTTCCTCCCTCAGAGCCACTGGTTGGGTTCAAACCACCAACTTTTGGTTTAGCAATACCACCAACCCATTTTTTACAGAAGAACAAAGCGGCTCAGAGGGAGAGGTGAGGCCACGTCTCCACAGGCTCTGAACCTGGGTCTGGCAGCCCCTTGAGGGCCCCAGAGCCCCTGCTCCTGACTCCCCTCTGCCCAGCAGGTCCAGTAAGAGGCAGCTCTCACTTGCCCTGCCTGTTCTGTCCTCCAGCCAGGGCTGTGCCGCCCAATGGGTTGGACAGTTTAGGAGGGCCTCACGAGCACCCTCTGCCAAAGGGCAAGGCAAAGCAGCAGGAGACCGTGGGCCCCCTCCCTCTCCTCCAGAGGACTCTGGGAGCTGCTCAGGGGCCTGACACTGCAGAAAGCACAGGCTGCCCCACGTGAACAGCTGCAACTCTCCAGTGCCACGCCAGAGGCAGGCTGTCTGCCTGGGCCATGCCCTCACTATACAGACGAGCTGCAGCCAGGCAATGGCCACTGAAAATGAGGAGACCAGCCAGGACTCAGGGAGGCGGGGCGCTCAACTTCTCAGCCCTCCCAGCATCTCACCAAGGTGGCCAGGGCCCCATACAGAGAGAGCCCTCTTGCCCAGATTCTCTGGTGTTGCACCAATCAGAGGCAGAGACACTGAAGAGGCCTCCCCTAGTACCCCAAACAGCTCATCTGCCCTCCCAGCCCGGCTGACCCACTGAGGACTCAGACTGCCACCTCTGGTGTGTGTGTGTGTGTGTGTGTGTGTGTGT